CTGACCCTGGTCCTAACTAACCCTGGCTCTGACCCTAACTAACCCTGGCTCTGACCCTAACTAACCCTGGCTCTGACCCTAACTAACCCTGGCTCTGGTCCTAACTAACCCTGGCTCTGGTCCTAACTAACCCTGGCCCTGACCCTAACTAACCCTGGCCCTGGTCCTAACTAACCCTGGCTCTGGTCCTAACTAACCCTGGCTATGACCCTAACTAACCCTGGCTCTGGTCCTAACTAACCCTGGCTCTGGTCCTAACTAGCCTTGGCTCTGGAAGGCTCCAGGAGTCTGAGGCAGGGTCAGAAAAGATGATGAGCTGGAGGTGGGGGCAAGGACTACCCATTGTAGAAGTTCAGCCCAATCTGATCCAAGGCGATCATTTCCACGCTAATTTCATCAAAGAGCACACAGGGCCTCCCGGTGGCCCAGCAGGTCATAGGCAGCACTATGACGCTGTCGCAGCCGCTGCAGCTCAAGTAGAGCTGGCAGGGGAGGCCCTGCAGACCCCTCGCTGCTCCCCCAGCGATTTTCAGTGGATCTGTAACAGGTCCAGGTTTCCTGGACTCCGCCCCCCACTCCAGATCCTGGAACTACGAATCCCATCAAGGCCACTGAGAAGCAGCGGGGACGTGAGGCCGGACCTGGGCAGCGGGGTTGGGATAACCCCCCACGTGGGCGCTGGGGGGTCTCTGGGCCTGGTGGGGCGCGCCTGGTCGTTGGCTGGCCTCAGTGTCCAGCGTGCCAGTCAGCAGAACTGGCAGGACATTCTAGTTAACTCGTATTTCTCTCTCTTTTCCCCCAGGGCTGTTCCCCTACCTTTCTCCTTGTAAAGAAACCCATTATCGAACTTGCTGTGTGTGTCCGCAGGATGACTGAATCTTAAGCACGCGGATGAGGACGCACAGAGAGGCAACCCAATTCACATTGGGGTGCCCTGTAACAGATTCTCCCATTCTGCTCCCCACTCTGTCTCTGGTAAATATTCTCACCCCTACCCCCACCTCTGGCCTATATCTCAGTTCTTGTATGCATACAAAATTAAAATAAATCTTAAAAAGAAAAAAAAAGACTGCCTGCCTGGGTCTACACAGGCATCTCTTTCCTTATTCTCCTTTCCTCAATAAACTTGCATTTTTTGAATGGGAACATCTGAATTCTTTCTCAAAAGGGACCAAGAACTCCACACACCAAACCCATTCATCTGAATCCCAAAGAGGTACAGGGGAAAACATTTCAGGTACTAACTATGGTCTTGGGCATCCGCTGGGGGTCTTGGAAATACCCCTGAGGATGGTCACTGCAATTGTGACCCTAACACTCTTCCCTCACCTCTCACCCAGGGCCCCCAGAACTCCCCAGACAGACAGCAACCAAGCTTTCCTGGGCTGATAGTGGCCACTAGCGGCAGTCAGGGGAATGGCAAGTTCTGTGTTGTGGAGGAAGAGAGTTGCTGTTTATCCCCTTATGTTTCTACCACTTCCAGTTACTTATTTTCTAAGAGGCGATCAAAAACCTCCATGGAAACAACATCTCTATAACCGATCAGGGAAAATGCATGGCCACTAAATCAGGAAAAACAGAACTCTCAAATTAGGTGACATTGTCAATGTCAAGGAAGTTGCAGTGATCGATCTGCAAAGTGATCAATTTCCCCAAGATAGTCTACACGCCCCTGGGACATATTTTAGGCTCCCCACTCCTTTTTGGTTAAGTCTGCTTTTCCCTCGAGCACCAACCTGCCATCAACTCTTAATGAATTAGCATTCGTGGGTGAATTTACTATTGTTTTCTTAAATAACTGGCACAGAAACAAAACTAGTTTCTCCGGACTTCCCATGCACAAGCACATTTCCCCTACATCCCGACTTCAGCAAGTTTTTGTTGGAGACTGCATGTGATTGTAAATCAATAAAGCACCAACTGTGTTTACAGGCTCTGGGCCGAGAACAGAAGGCTGGCTGGAGGAGGCTCACTGCCGCTCGGGGAGGGAATTTACCACAACCTGCCCAGGACCCGGCCAGCAACTCCATCTTGGGAGTGTGTGGCTCACGAACAGCTGCGCAGCTGGAACTTGGGGTGAAGTCGGAGATGTGGAACTGAAGCCCGAGAGGGACCTTGAAAATGAGCCCCGAGCTTCTCGGCACCCCCTGGGCCCTCAGCCAGGGGCCAGTTTGGAACAGGCAGTTACCCTTAATCAGCAAATATTTACTGCGCACCCAGGGCACAAGACACAGTTGTTCTCGGCTGTGGAAAATGTAAGCCCCAGACTTGACCATATTTACACCGAGCGGGAGAGATAAGCAGACCTAGAAGAAAACCACACAAGCAAGCAGAAGCCAGGTGCTTGAGAAATGAGCTTCAGGAACAGAGGGGAGGGTCCTCCAGTGGCCGAGCAAGAACCGAGAAGGTTCTCCAGCACCTCACTCAGTATTAAGTAAAATGCTCTACAGCCCAGGCACAGCAGAGGTACCGAGGGGCCGGCCTGGGGGCGCACAGAGGGGCGAGGAGGGGCCGAAACGGATCCCACTGGGAGATGAGCTTAGAGTCAGAGCAAAGGGAGAAAGTCAAGTGCACCCAAGTGTGAGCCGAGTCTGTGAAAAGGGGGGTGGCAGCTGGCTGGCCGCCTGAACCCCTACGGGGAGGCATAGGCGCATTGACCCAACGGCAGTGGGGAGCCCCTGCCCAGGCGGGGCCAGGGTCTGCTTCCAGATTAGTCTGGAAGCCGCAGGCCACCCAGGCTCGGGACCCCAGACCGCCGCCAGAGGGAAGCCGCAAAGGCCAGCCCTGAGAGGCCCTTTCCAAAAGGATCCTAGTGACTGCGTGGATGTGGGGGGGTGGGGGGAGCGAAGACCCCATGGCAAGTCTCTGGCAATGGCCATCACATGAAAAAAATAGCCCAGCCCCGCTGGGCCCTGTGACTGTAGGCCTCGTTCTTGGTCTATCTTGCTCCTAGATCCAAAGCTGTGGTGCCAGAATCCAGCAACTCACGGGCACTGGGCCAGGGCCAGAGGGCCCCCCCCCACCCCACAGTTTCCTCTTGACTTTGTGTACGGCCAGAGGGCTCCTTTCTGGACTTCGCCCTCCCCTGCTCTCGGGGCACCTTGGTACCCAGCTGTCCTGAAATCCACCAGCCCCCCCATGAAACAAATGTCTCACCTGGAAATGTCACACTTCTCCCGGTCCCCTGAAACTGGAAGGGTGAGTGGGGAGACAGGAAGAGAAGAACTCAGATGGGGAAACTGGGCCAGTCGGCCTGGCTCTGGTCCACTGCCTGGGACAGTGA